TATGAATTTCAAAATGATGTTTTGATTTTGAACCGGAAGACTTATTCAGAAAGACGTCTCTGTTGACATAGGGAGAGGATATGGGTATTGACTTGGAGCCTAAAAGTATCTGTACTAAAATACTTTCTTTTGTGCGAGACCCACAACTCCATATTTATGAAGATGTTATCTTTTAATTTCACAGGGCTGTGCTTTTGAAACAAGGTCTGTTTGAAATATACAAACCTGCAAACAAACACTATTTTAAATACCGATACAGCAACTTTTGTGTCATTTGAGACAAAGTGGAACGAGCAGGAATAAACAAAGTGGCTATTTTTTTTTTTCTTGTGCATATTTAAACTTAATTGGCTCTCCAAAGATAGATTTTAGGTGGGCTGGTATAAAAGTATGATTACAGCAGCCACTAAAGGGGATTTGAGTATAGGAAGAACCGGGGGATCAGAATCATAATTCACTTTTCTGATGAAACACCCCAGTGTCTGTCTCCAGGTGGGACTCTTCAGTACAACAGATTCCACAGAGCTAACTGTGACCGTGTGTGTGTGATATGTTCTCAGCATGACTCGGTGTGGCTTTGTACAAAAACATGTGAAAACCTTTGATCTGGGAGAGAACTATCCAGTTTGGATGCAAGCCTGCCCTGGTGATTGTGTTGCTTTCCTCTAAAGAAATATGTTCCTAATCCAACTCCTCAGCAGTTCCTGCGGTGTAAAACGAGACTTGAAGCAGCATGAGACAGCAATTCAGGCGATGTCCTAGGAGGGATGCTTAACACAGGATGAATAGACACTGCGTTGTCAGAAAGCATCAGGAGAGAAGGGAGACCTTTGAGTCTATGCAAATTACAATCCCATCTGCATGTAAAGCCAACCGACCAGAACACGGGAAATAGGATGTTCAGTATCAAAGTGTCACACATTAAAGGTGATGAAAGTAGGAGGGAAAGAAAAGAAGGAAGGAAGAGAGAATGAGGAAGGAGGCTGCTTTGCTTTGCTGCTACATGAAGTGTGACTGACTTCAGCTTGTTTGTGTCTGGTTTTGGTGCGTTCAAATAAAGGCTGGTTTCATTCATAATCCTAAATTTGTCACAGCTTGCTGTCCGGCAGACACACCGATACCCCCTGCTCGCAGCCGCACATGGGCTGCATTTAGAAAACGCCTTTCACACAGCGAGCTTGCTTTAATGTAAAGGGCCAGGGTCTGTGAAGCCTGAACCAGCATGCGGAAAAACTGATGAGAGAAATTCAGCTCAGCTCAACTCAACTGGAGCTCGTTTGCACTCAACAGCCATAACTTAAACATGGTGCAGGGTGTTAGACATATAACAGATGTTTTACACTAGAAAGGCTCAGCAAATACATCTGATTCCTGTTTTGAAAGATAAGAAGGTCCTGCCTTGGCTTGTCTGAGGCCAATTTAAAACTGATTTAAAATATGCTAAATCAGGCATGGAAATAATATGTATGTATATTTACCTCTTTTAGATGACATCTCGTTTATCTTTTTACTTTAAAAAGTCGGTACAGGAAATGTTTTCAGAGCGTTCTTGGGTTTCTTTTTTGTGCATAATGAGTTTGAAAAATAACACATTCACGAAAAGATTGCCATGTGTTTTGATGTATCTATTGAAAATGCTCTTGCCTGAGTTTAACAAGTAACGTGTTTTTTTCTCTGCTTGTTATACTCTGGTCTTTCCACATTCATCACAGACTGTGTGACACACCGGTAGCTGCTTTGTGAGCACACAGCAGAAATAATTACACTGTTATTGGCTACCTGACACGTGGAAAGGATGTGAATACGAGCCAAGCAGTTGCGGTTGGTTTGGATTTTTATTTAGAACAAACAAACTCTGCCTACACCCGAAGAGGAAATAAAAACCCTGACTATTAAGCGTTACCTGGAAATGAAATAGAACACCGATTCATCAACACTGTAAAAGCATTCAAAGATAATCCTCAGAGGTTCTCACAACCCAAAGTCTTACACACAAAATACATTCAGATACCATAAACCTTTTTTTGCTTTTAACAGAACTCATGTTAAAGATGAAGTAAATCAGTTCATATAAATATAATCAAATAAATAGGGTTCAAAACTAAACAAATTACTTAAAAGCGGGTGTGTTGTAATGTGACATCTTCAGTAAATGCTAATGTGTCTTTAAATAGATTAATTCATTTTAAATTATCTTGGGTGACATTTTGGAGCTTCAGTTTGATAAATGAGATGAAACATGATTTTTTTTGTGGAAGTTTTGGGCTGTCTTTTGTCATCAGATTCAACTTTTTTTCAACCAATGTTTTTACCTTTATATAAAATAAGTGTGGTATATAGCGAGCAGCTTGGGAAACAAGTGAAGTGAAACCTCCCAGAATAAATTAAAGGGATATTCTTAAACTGAATTCTGAAGACTCAAAAGGCGTTTATGTGGAGAGTCTGCTCCAAAGATTTAGCATCTTAAGTCAGTCTTTTACTCTCCACTGCATGAAGGGTCAAATATTCAACCCGAGAAATATATACCGAATCTTATTATAAAGTATTGAAAAAGTAGACGCAATATGTGCAAGAGATGTCATGTGACACTTCACTGATCGGTGGCGACTTTAGAATAGTTCTCGATCTTGATAACATTCAGAGGTCCTGGGCAGTACTATATGATATTACACACACACACACCCACACACACACACACACACACACACACACACACACACACACACACACACACACACACACACACACACACACACACACACACACACACACACACACACACACACACACACACACACACCACACACACACACACACACACACACACGCACGCACGCACGCACACACACACACACACCACACCTGAGACTTTATCTTGAGGAGTAAATAACCCTCAATGCAGATATGCGAGTGCGATTTTTGTCCAACAGAAAATCAAAATGTTTTCCTGTAAATCAGAGATTTTTTATGCCTGGAGGTGTTTTATAGATTGAGGAGATTTTAGACAGTTAACAGTTATTCAGTCCCATTTCCTGATGCATAAGGTTGTAAAAAAAAAGTAGTTTTTGGATATTGACAGTTATGAGCCTAAATGACAACTTATATTTGGGAAAAGATCAGTGGAACCTTTTGAGATTGCTAACTGGCTCTGCCCTACAATCACATTCATAACCATAGCCCCATCTCAGTGAAAACAGTGAAAACATAACAACATGAATGAAGTCCAAAAATGTGTCCCATTGACTGCGGCAACAACTGCAGTTTATTTTTACAATCCTTGCATGTGTTTTCCAATGTGAAGTTAGCTCATAGAGAATGGCCAAAGAAAGCCATCTCCACTGCCCTGCGATTAGGGAATTGTAACTTTATTTTCTCAAGTCTTTAGAAGGACACTTCCAGCATCGGGGACGTCCTCTGACCTCAATTCACCCTGATTCTGAAATATGTTAAATATACAGCAACAGAATTTACAAGAAGATTGCTCAAGGTGTCAATTACCAGCTAAGAAGCTCTCAACATTGAAATTAATTCATACAAAATTCAAAGAAAGGCTGAAGCAGCATGCATCTCGTTCATGTAATCCCTGTTAAACTCTAAGAAGAAAGAAACATGGTACCTTGGAAATGTTTAAAACTGAACCAGACATACATCTTTAAACTTATTTCAGCAGGTGCAAGTATTTATAATATAGCTTTATAAGCATTGTTTGACTCTATTAATAGCCAGAGTTTTGTATTCTGAGATGTAATCAACACGGCAATCCAAGAATATAAGCCAGTTTGTCGTGTTGAAATGTGATACAGTCTAATTACAGTGTCATTGGTGGAAAACACAAGCTGCAAATATGGATATGGAACACTTTAGTCAGACAGATAGTTAAAAACTAAATATGTCATCCCAGAAATTGTTTATGATCACTGTCGCCACAAAAGGCCGTGCAGGAAGCTTTGACATTTCACGATCTTCTAGATCTAAATATATACATTATGGCAACATCTGTCCATAATTACAACGTTTATTTTGGAGGTCGAGTTTGGTTCCAGCTTTGGTATTGATACACAGCCGAATGAAAACATCAACATTGTTAAGTCCAAAGAAATTCAGAAATGTTGACTGTTCAAGCATATCCTAGAATCAAAGATAAAACATTTTCTTTTTTTCAAAACTCAATATCACATAATCATGTAAAAGCTTTGGTTTGTGCATGCTTCTGCTGGAATAAAAAGTCATACATATTTTACACACTAAAATGGAAATGGACACTGCTGCTGCTTTTTAAGTCCTTTTCCTTTGACACAAGTCTAAAAGTACCTCCTCACTTTCTGCTGATTTCAGCATGCTTACGTCATTATTCACAGAGAAAAAGAAGGAAAACATAGGCTTTGGAAATGTCTTCGTGAAGGTCAAAATCATAGCCAGCTCATCATATGCCTCAACAGTGACAAACATGTCATCAAAAGAGATCATAAACCATGAAATAGCAGCATTAGCCCTATTATCCAGGAAATTGCCTTTCTGGCTTCACAAGAGGCTACATTACAGCCTACATAAATGGAAATGCATTTACAGCTTATCTGGATGTACACTATATATTTTTTAAAACTACACAAAATGTTGTCTTGCTCTGTATTCAGGTCTGTGTTGAAACTGTGTTTTTTTAATTACTGAAAATGAATGCAGTTAGCTACTTTTAGGTTGATGTATTGGCAATGATGCTTCGGGGTCTATTAATACCGGGAGTCTATTGGAGTCTTATCGGGCTTCGGCTGCCCATAGATAAAAACTCAGCTCAATATTCCACTAAGTTACTCACATTACAATGGCCTCTTGCACCACAAGGTCATTTAAAGTCCCTGAAGTCTCCTTATCTCTATACCCATGTGTATTACACTAGACGTGTGTGTTCTGCAAATAAAGCTGTGAGTATGCTTGTGTGTCTTCACGGAGACTTGCTGTTAAAACATAAATACTTTCAAAAGTTAAATGATGATCAACTTGAAGCCTTTAAATGCAACCATATTTATTTTTGTTGTCTTGCCACGTAAAAAAAGGCTCAGATTGCAATTGGCTCTTCACAGAAGAAGCTACATTCTTCACTAAAATGTGAAAGAAGAACACGTTAAACAAACACTTAGATGTCACAAGATATCAAAAACACATTCCTAGTTGTACATGATTGTAAAATCCTACACTGAAGTTATTTAACACATATTCAAACATAACTTGTATCACCCATTTAGGAAATTAACATTTAAAAAAACAATAGCATGACTGGTGTGATTTACAGCATGGAGGAGCATATATTAAGTGCTAACAATGTAGTTTAAAGATAGAATAAAACATTTAAGAACAAAAAAACAATTACCTATACATTTTCTGACATCAAGTCACTCAAATATTGTGGGGGAATAATTATGTAAATTTATAAATATATAAAATTCATTTAATTTCAAAGAAAAATAAACAACTATGCTGTTCATTTACATTTTTAAAGACATGTTTTTTTCTGATATCTTTTTCTTAATCCAGGACAATCAATTTATTTAAAGAAAAATATTTGGCAAAAATAACATGATATCAATTTACCTGTGAAACTACATTGTAGTGACAGCATATGAAAAAAACAAACGCAACACATCCTTTACCAGAATATACATTTTGTCCGATTTCTGCACTTGAATATCAGAGATCCGCTCTTATTTTTTGTGCGGTTAATACATCTTAATTTTGCAGAATATATTAACTATACAGTTAAACCTAAAATCAAGGATGTATAAAAACCAGGGGGCATCGACAAATCAGCCTCCGCAGCGTGTTCAGTGGAGCAAGGCGCGCTGATGCTCCCTCTTTACCCATAAACCCCTCTGTTCTGTGCTATATTCTGAAGCAGAGAGGAGTAGAGAAGGAGAACAACATGGGGTCCAATCAAAGAGGACTAACTCTGTCCCAGGTCCCATTGTTACCTCACAGGACCGCAATATAGGGTTCACGTTTAAGTTTAAGGCCAACCCAGTCCAACTCCAGTTAAACCAGTTTGATCCCAGTAGGGGGCGCAGCAGCCCCAGTTGACTAATCATTCCTAATTTCCTCCTAAATACCTTTATTTCCAAAATCTATACATTTGTTGATGAATTGATCTTAATTATCTTTTTCTTAAACTTAAAAAAATGTGTCAGTTATGTATGTCTAACAATATGAAGAAAATAATAAAAGTCCCCAGCTAACTGATTTAACCTCAACCTGAGCCATTCAGTACAGTAGTGTTTTAATTTGGTCACTTTTTACCATGAGGCAGGTACTCAAAAAATAAGAAAATACAACACAAAAAGCAGAACATGAGGAACTGAACTAAAACGGTAGAGGACAAACTTGTCTGGAACGTGTCCTGACAGACTCAATGTTATCTGGCATCAGAGTTATGAGTCTCATAGCTCCATGTGTAATATTCTGTGTTACTATACACTTAGGGTGAAAGAAATTAATCACTGTGATCCAGCGTTTCAGTCCCTGAGTCACTGTGGCCCCGTTCTAGAAAAAGACGAAAAAAAATCTGGCTTTTCACAGGTAAACCAGCCACAATGTGTCATCTGCAGCAACTTGGCATAGAACACATTGCGTCATTCACTGTCCGAACGGAGAATGCGTTGTGTAAATTGACCGTCTGAGTAGTATCTCCCGGGCCGGGGGGTGCGGGTCAGCGGTGCGGACGGACGAGGAAGTCAGGTAGTCAGCAGGAGGAGGACGAGGGTGAGGAGGAGGGGAGGGGAAGCTGTCCTCAGGTAGCAGGCACTAGTTACAGCCTCAGTTTCTGAAAGAGAGAAGAACATTATTGTCACCCTTAGTGTGAACTAGTTTTCCACGTTTTGGGCTCAGTGCTTTGATTGCAATTCATGAAAACCTCAATGTTAAAGCATATACAGTTATTATAGAAAAGGCCTCCTCACTTTGTCAGCAGTTTTTAGGGAGTTGTTGGTTTTTTAGAACTTTTTAGAAAGCACCATTGGAAAAACTCATGCAAATCCCTGCAGCAGGTTCCAAAATTGTGTGGAAAACTTTCCAGAAGATAGTAGGATGTTATAGAAGTGCAATACTGGGTATTGTTATAATAGAGCTGTAAAGTTATGGTGACATCATACTCATTTTTCTTCATACAAATAATTTGTAAGCACTTGTAAATATGCCTATACGAGAATAAATAGGGATTCAAATATTGTATCTTACCTTGTATTTGTTTTGAACCCTCTGATGCTTTTTCTAGAGAGAGAGAAGAAGAGAAAGAGATAATTCAGTGAAGGCAAAGAATCAAGTTGCTGATTAGTCATTTTTGTATGCTTAACTTTCTCAATAAAGCTACTGCTTTGTGGAACAGAGGGAGCGAGAAACAGACAAATGACCAAGGGAAGGTATTTACCATTACTCAAAGACTTACGCCATGAAAAATGAGTACCGACTGGCTGCGCAACCCTAAATATGTCCCCTATGCAAATTCTCTTAAAGGTCGGATAAAAAAAGCGCTTGAGAAGCATGGCAACAGGAAAATATAGTGTTATGTAAATTAGAAGGAGTAAGAATGATCCAGATTATACAGAGGGGATACAGGAAATGAAAAACGGGGGGAAAAAACACATGAAAATTCAAAATGACAGAGCGAAACCAAGAAGTGGACAGAAGATGAAAGGAAGAGCGTTGGAGACCCGAGTGAGAAAGTATGTCGAAAAAAAAGAAGGTTGGAAAGATTGAAACAAGGTCAGACAGAGAGAAAAGGGAGGGAGGGAGAGAGAGAGACGGGATGGGGGGGTTGTTTGTGTCTGGGTGTCACTTTCTCAGCAGGGGGTGGACTAAAAGAAAATAATGGATGGAGGGATGGAGGGATGGTGAGGATGAAGGGAAAAGGAGGGGTGGGAGATCTGGTAAAAAGAAGAGGACAAGAAATACAGGTGGTGAGAGTGAAAAGCAGAAACTGTTCAGAAAAAGGAGCCGCAGTGTAACATCAGTGAGGGAGAGGACTATAGGTCAGGAAACGTGGAAGAGGCTGCACAATTGCTGCCGTTATTAAATCAATCTATAGCCTTGAACCCACCGCTGACACTGCAACCCCAAAGACTCAAACACACACACAAAGACAAAGTGTGTATTGATGTCTCCAGGAAAACACCTATCCACATCCCGCTGCGACTGACTGAGATTATGAGAGGAAATGGGACACTGAGCTCATCTGCTGTACAGTCACACAGGGGCAGAAAGGATTTATCAAATGAGGGCTTATTGTCCAAACACTGCGTCTGTCTGTTATCTCCATCTTGTACCTACAGGTCTCTGTTGCTACGTGTCGCTCCGACAGACACGAGACACTAAATGACTCCCAGGTTCGGTACAGCTAACGACCATCGAGGGGTTAACGAAGCATTAAATAGCCTGCTGGGTCTGGGCCTCTGAGTACTCCGCTGTGCGTGCATGTGTGTGTCTATGTGTCTATAATTGCGAGTGTTGTTACGGAGAAAATCAAAGCAAACAAAAATAGCGTAATAATCAAACATTTCAGGCCTTCACTAGTTACATTTGTTTGGCATTTTTGCCATCAACCCATGATTTAATACAATTTATTGGTCAAAGAATATTTATAAACCAGCTGTCATTTCAAGTTTTAATAGTGTTGATGAAGGGTGAAAAAGAAGGTGGATGATCTAAATCAAATTAACGATTTTAATAAAAAGACAAAACAAAAAAGAAGATTTATACGAAAAAATAAATGTATATCCAGTTTTATCACTTAAATTCCTTCTCGACTATAATTACTTTTTTTTTCATTCTGGAAATGTTTGATGTCACTTTAAAGAAAAATAATTATCTTATGCCAATTGAAAAATCAGTATTAAATTAAACTTGGGTAGAGGAAAAACACTTTTCTGAAAAGTATTTTTCTGTTAACGCGGCCGCGCACCTCGAAACTAAAATGCCTTGTGTTTACCCGGCTGTGTGTGATATGTGTGTTTTGATCTGACTTTAATCACATCATTTGCGCATAAACTGAACACCAAGGACCATTAGTTTGGTCAACATCATAATTTCGCTCATGGTGAACAGTGCCACAAAATGGCGTTCATGATGGCGTGACTGCAAAAACAGTGCTGTCTCTGCACTGCAGTCAGAAACATGCGCATGTGTAACTGTACATGCACAACAATGGCCAAAAGTGTGAGTGCGCGTGCGCATGGAAGTGTATATGTGTGTGTGTGTTCTCCAGTAGGCAGAACGCCCCACTGCAGAGACAGACACTGTTCCACCATCCTACCTCTCCTCTCACGCCGCCATTTTACACATAGAAGCTAAAGATAACTCACCCTGACTATTAGCACTTCACTATTAGAATTTATTTTGCACAAAAGGCAAAATGACGGCGAAATGACGGCGAACGAAAAACGCAAACGGAAAATAGCAGTTTAAGTGAAAAGTATTGAGTCTGGGTTTTCGAGAGTCTTCGGCTGTCCAAGCGGTGTGTGTGTGTGTGTGTGTGTGTGTGTGTGTGTGTGTGGGTGTGTGTGTGTGTGTGTGTGTGTGTGCGCGCATGTGTCTGTATTCAAGTTCTGTCCTTGTGTGCATCGAGTTCAGAGGGTACAAAGGTATTCGAGAGAAAGTGGAGGGGGAAAAGGAGGGCAGCGGTGTAAGACATTTCGAAAAGGAAAAAAAAAGAGAGAAAGACAGTGGAGAAATGGCGAAGCTCTGTAAACTGAAATGAATGCAATGGACTGCTCACAGCGGGAGAACGGTAGAAATGACGTGGAGAGAGACGAAGAGAGACCAGGAATCAATTAGAGAGAAAGGAAAGTTGGTCTATAATGGTTTCTCACAGTAGGGTAGCTGAAAAAGAGAAAGGCGGAGAGCCAGTACGACACGGAGAAAACACAGAGATAAACACAACAGGAGGAGTTTTAGGAAGAAGTTGAAGCAACGGAAAGGTATGGAGAGAGAGGCAAAGTAAACCGGTGAAAGATGCAATAGAGGGGGGCCTGAGATTTCACATGACACCAGTCTGCTGATGCCGGCTGAGAGCCTTGTTTTCTGATGCAACACAAATTCAAGCTCCTTACAGCAAAGCACTTTTTCTGGCGTGATCCTTGACAGCATTTTGTTCAAATAAACATCATCACACACAACACTGCGCCGAAAACATAACCACACCTTTAAAAAAGCCAAAACATGCTTTACAATACTGCAAGCCACAACAGGATAAGACAAACACACATACACACGTCATTAGGAGCTCCCTGCGTCCCTGAGTCTGCCCTGTGTGGTTTGTTGTGTTTTTGGGTTAAATTAAGGCGATAAACACACATTCACACACTGGAGAGGAGACCGAGGGACTGGTGAGTAGAAGCTGACCTTGGAGCAATGACAGCGTACCTGACGGACCCTCACTGTCATCACTCTGTCCTTCAGACCGGTGTGAGGCAGGTGTGTGTGTGTGTGTGTGTGTGTGTGTGTGTGTGTGTGTGTGTGTGTGTGTGTGTGTGTGTTGATAATGAACTCAAAAGGCCACAACAGGGCCTCCCCGCATGGAATTGTGGTTTTAATAACATGCTTTTACGAAAAAAATAGAGTTCTGGCGAAAGAAGAAGGAAGGGAGGTACACAGTTTGAAGTTGAGATAAGAGATAAGATGTAGTTGAAGGGCGAGAAGCTGCCATCACCGAGGGCCACACGCACATACACACTCTCACACACACACACATAGACACGGTGTGCCCTGCTGCCATGCTACCTGTCAGATAAAAGGCAACCTGAGCAGGAAGGAACCAGAGGTGAGGTGTTACTACAGGGAACAACACAACAACAGCTGTGGTAAACCGCTACTAATGGACAGGCAAAGAGAGCGAGAGACCCTCCAACTCTCCTTCATCTCCTCCCTCATCCATCTCCTTTTGCTCTCCTCTCTCCGGCCTCATGTATTTTCATCCCAACGCACTCGTCGCACAGCATGCGCACGACAGAGATGGAGCAGGTAAACCGGGAGAGGGGAGTCGGTGAATTACTCTGTAGTAGATATGGAGATAACAAAGAGATAGAGAAGACACAGAGAAGGTGGAGTGGCTGGGGCGGAGTCAAGGAAGAGGAAGTGTTAGAGACTGCCATGGATGGTGCCTAGATTAGTTTTGCTCCAGTAGCGAGAGATCATAAAAAAGAGGACGGGTGTAGAGAGCTGAGGAGACAGAGAGAAGGGGAGGATTAGTGCCACTTCAGGAATGACAGAAGACTAGAAAAGAGCGGGAGGAGTGGAAGACAAGGAGAGGGAGATCCTGACATTTAGTCGGGATTAGTTTTGGGTTAAAGAACAGGATGAGAGGCACCGAAAAAAAAGGGGAAAAAGAAACAGTAGATAGAAGTATGTGAATCTTTGTGGGGGGGGGAAGTATTTCTGATGTAAAGTAATGGGCTTTAACGGTAAAGTCAAGTGTGTGTGTGCATGTGTCTGCCAGCGTGCGTAATCTACACCATTCCAAATATTTTGAATGAAGAAGGTCAGACTGCTACATTAGCATTTTGTAAAACAACTATCTGTGGTATTTCTAATTAATGACAGCCGGATAATTAACATATTAAAAAAAGTCATCAGCCTTCATTCTGGTAATAACGCTGCAAATTACTCCCAACAGTGATGGCATTTAAGAATTCATTCAAGACGGATGGGGCTCTTCTTATTCAGCTTTTTTTTTTTGCTTTACACAAAAGTCACAAACATTTAATCAAGGCGGTGCGTTGGGGGGTATTTGTTAGACAACATGTAGGAATTTAGTGAACGGATCTCTCACACATGCTTCGACAAACAACCATTGGACAAGCTTTCCTGGAAAAAGTGTGTGGTTCATCCTGGGACAGCACGACAAGCCCCCTGCAGACAGCATGAGGATGGGAACTGGGACAGACGTCTCAGACACGCACATGAGGACAAACACACAGCAAGAGAGCACACGCAAAGGCCCATGCAAGAACGCACAAAAACAGAACAATGTCCCACACACACACACACACACACACACACACACACACACACACACACACACACACACACACACACACACACACACACACACACACACACACACACACACACACACACACACACACACACACACACACACACACACACACACACACACACACACACACACACACACACACACACACACACACACACACACACACACACACACACACACACACACACACACACACACACACACACACACACACACACACACACACACACACACACACACACACACACATCACACACACACACACACACACACACACACACACACACACACACACACACACACACACACACACACACACACACACACACACACACACACACACACACACACACACACACACACACACACACACACACACACACACACACACACACACACACACACACACAGTGACTGGGCAGCATTCCCAACCGGAATGGGCAGCTCACTGGACTGGAAGACTAACATTACTCCAGGCGTGCTCTGGATTAGATCACTCTGGGAATTTCACACTGGGGTAGAGAGAGATGGAGAGTGGAAGATTGAGGGAGACAAGGAGTTAAAAAAAAAAAAAAAGGGAGAGAATGGAGGGAGGGATTGGGGAAGAAGAGAGGAGAGGGAACTAATGGTTCAAACAACTCTCAATCCAATTACGTTGTAAAGCCAGCTTGGAGTGGATTGCGCAGTAAGTCTCATGTGATGAAGTTAAAGATAGTGCAAGATTCTGAAGATGAGTTTAAGTTCCTTGATAAAAGTTAAGGACATTAGAGCATCACAGTTATTCAAACAGAAAGGAGGAATAGTAGGGGGGGATGAGGAGCAGTCTAAACATCATGCCCTGGTAGTAGAGATGAGAGCGGCAGGGAGAGGAGTATCTTGCTGTACAACAAAGGGAGGAGCATGAAAGGAAGAACAGATGAAAAGTACTCACTGGGCTCACAGCACACGGTGACACGTAACTTCATACATGGCAGAGGAGGGCCTTCATCTGCCGGTAGAGCTAGAGAGAAAGAAAGACAGATTTAAATACGTTGCTTACATATTAAACCTGACAAACGGTTCATATTTAAACATGTCAAATATAAAGACAAATATGAATATGCTGAATGAAATCTTCTGATCTTATCTTTGAGAGCTCTCTTGGTAACTCTTCTAAAGGAGGTTGTCTTCCTGTTTCTACCATATCAATACATCATACAATACATGATATCCAAATAAAGAATCTCCCTGTGTCCCATTTAGTAACATACCTCCTATTTATCTGCACAATTAAATAAAAACAATAACATACAGGATTGAGAGCAACTATTTAAAAATGCAACATCTCTGATATCAATACTGATCACAGTTCATGTGGGAAATCAGGCAAACATCAGACGTATTACCTGTCAGTTTAGCATCGCTTTCACAAAACAACTCTGTCTGGAAACTGCAGTTAAAGGGCTTTACATTTGAATTATTCACAAACAGCTGCTATCTCAACAGAGACCCACCACACAAGCTGAGTGTATGATCGCTAACAGCCTGTCCCACTTTGTATCTTTAATTTCAACCGATAAGATAGAGAACAGAAGAGCAGTGGGGCTGTCTTATAAAGCACTTTCTACAGTGGCTGAGAGAGCTCCACTCGCAAAGACAGAATATCTTCCTTGTTATGACAGGACATATGTCAGATAAGGAAAACAAATGCAGCTAAATGAAAAAAAGCAAAATGGGGCCATGAGAGTACTTGCATGAGCTTCAACTCTGTACGTTTCATGATGAACATGCCTTGATATGTGATTTTTTGTAGGTAAACATGTGTCTCTTATGCTCCAAGATGTGTTCATTGTTGACGAAACAAATCTTAACTCAAGATCTACTACTACTCAAAAAGCTTTGAGCTTCACTCCGCAGAACGCAGAGGTTGACGCTAGAAGGCATGTTCACGGGCTGAAAGGTGAAAGTTACAGTGCGCCAACCTTAAATCTCTGTTTGAGACTTGTCCATACGAGCAGGATTTGGAAAGCCAAACATGATGCGTCATGCAAATTACATAAATGTAACCTGAAAAGGGGAAACAACAACTGCACATACTGTACACTGAGAACAGGCGTTTTAATCTAGTGGGAGACACCTTGTATCTGGCAACAAACTATATATGCAAAGTATTATAAAACATTTTAACATCTTGGAGAAGTAGATGGGTTTTTTAAAGATTTTGAAGTAGTTTGTTTAACTTTTTATGTCTGCAAAAAACCATATTAGAAACTATTTTGAAAGGCAGACTATCATAAGTGTTTTCATAAACGTCTTGAAACATGTCTAGATAAGATCTTACAGATATGTTCTTTCAATTATGATGGCACATTTAAGTGTTGGACTAACAACAACAGCATTCCTCAGTTTTAGGTGTCCCTTGTAAACGTTTCCTCGAATGGTTCCATGTTAGGGCGCAGCTGACCATCAGAGGATGTCAAGGTGCTTCCTGTTTGTGGGGATCCGCACATGTAGAAGCCGCAGGGATTGGTCAACAGGTCAGTGTGAGAGGAACAGTCAGTGTGTCGTCAGGGTGATCGTCTTTGGGAGCCGAGAGAGGAGCTGAGCCCGGCTCAGACTGAGCCAACTAATGCCATTAGTGTTTCTAATACCATTGTACTGCTCTCCCAGGCTAATGCCATTGTACTGTCCCAGTGCTAGGGGCCCATTCAGCACAGGGACCCCAGAGCCAGACATTTGGACCAACTTTACGCCTTATCTTTGATGTGGACAAAACACACACAATCGCTCTGAGCCCAATGTGGCCCAACCGAGGGGGGGGGGGGGCCCATTGTTGCTTTTCACTGAACTTGCCTGAACAACCACAATAGCCCAGTGTGTGCGTGAGTGTGTGTACATATATACATGTGTGTTAGCGTGTGTGTGTGGAAGCGCTCTCTCATGCCCTCACAATGCTCCATTGTCCCGTGGACCGCATCAGTAATTTATGTAAAGAATATTTCTTTCTCTTCGTCTCATCCATCCCTTCACTCTGTCGCTTTTGTTGCTCTCCCTTTTCTTTCGTGTGGATTCCTCTCATCCGGCCTCTCTTGCCCCCCCCCCTTCCTGTACTGTCAGACTGTGTCCATCTTTTGCTCTTTCTCTCTGTCACTCCTCCACGCTTCTCTACCTCCGTCTGCTCCCCCCCCCTGTTCACTGTCGTCCTGTATTGATCTCTGTTTCTTCCTCCTACACTTTGCGGTTGCTCTGTCTCTTTGTTGTCACCCTTTCCATACTGCATTCTCTGACTTGTTTCATATCCTCCCCCTCATGGTTGGACTGATGCCAGAAGTTGTAAAAAGTAAGGAAAAAACCCGATTTTACAGCCACTAAACCATCCTATGTGTCTCTCACTCCTTTTTCTCCCTCCAGTGGTTTGAGATAAATGAGTGAGAGGACAGAAGCACAGGAGAGTGTAATGGGAAAGGGGAAACCTTCACTAACAGTGTGTAACTGCCTACAGGTCTAAGAAAACATCAAATCAATGTCATTCAGGAGGAATTTATGGAGACCATTAATGCTTTAGGCTGCAGTTTGCCAACACTCAAAGCCTCATAAAAAGAAAACACACAAGCTAAAGTTGTTCTCTACCTTTGCATCACTTCAAAAAGGTAAGGATGTGCGGCCACCACACTGCCTCCAACACCGACATCTGATGAACTGAAACAGCAGACATTTACATATTTTCTCTTTTACAGCTGTTTCACTTGACTTCCAGTGTAAGAGGCCTGAAGCAAAGATTCATGGCTTTACTAAAGTAGAAGATGCTCAAAAAATACTAAGTGATCATTCACTTTGGGAATTAAAAACAAATAACCTTTAGTCATGTATTGAACCTAGATACTTTTTAGGAAATTACAGTACTGCTTTCAGTAATATTTGTGATACAAAATAAGCAGTTTCTCTGAGAAATGTGTTTAACTCCAAGGGGTTGGGGTAAGGGTTGACTAATGGCCCGTCCACACAGCGGCTTTGGAAAAAGCTTGCCGGCGGGCGTGTTTGAAGCTCGACCAACAACCAATCACATGAATCCCCCGCCCCTGCCACACAAGCAGCGGTTTGATTGGCTAGAGCTTGTACTGGCATATGATTTGATTGGCTGACGCTTCCATTGCTCAACTTTTGCAGCCTGAAACGCCAGGAAAGCTCCGTTCTGCTTCCCACAATGCAGTTCGGCAAAAAGTGACGTCACCCCATTCAAAGTGAATGGACAGAAGCGTTGAAGAGTCAACGCACGCCGCCGTGTGTAGGGCCCGTTAGGATAAGATGTTACATCATTCTAGTCCTTTTCAAAGCTTGGAAATAGTTTTTTGCTTACCGAGTCAAAATATGTAATGTTCGCTCTCATCTTGCAAAAAAAAATATCAAAACATCACCTAGGGCCTAAGCCATCGTCTTACTTTTAAGCACAAGTTACTTTTCTTTATCTGATGTGATAATAATCTGAACATTTTGAGGGGTTTGACTGTTGCAGTCATCTTTGGTTTGAGGAAAATGTGATCTCTTTTAATATGTTTTCCGTTCATAGACAATTGATGGATTTGCAACCAAAACTGACCGAAACATGCCCTCATTAAATTACCAAATCCATACAAATATTTGACTGTTTAAATCTTTTGCAAGGCTGCTTGTTTAACATTTGAAAAACGGATTTATTTCACAAGTTAGACAATTTATTTTAAAAGAATAGGCTTTGAGAACTCATGACTGTTGATACCAATACATTACATTACTGTACATGTTACCAATACCAAACTCTTTTAAATGATACCCAGCTCTACTTGTGACCCACTTCAATCTGACACAATGACTAAATGACCCCCCACACTCCCACACAAAGAGACACACACATCCTCTACTCACAGCTGTAGTAGTAGTGGCGCCCTGGCAGAAACTCAAACCCCAGCGAGAAGGGGGTGAACCTTTGGATCTTCTCAGAGAAGCGCACCGGTCCAAAGGGAGCGTAGGGGGTGTTACACTCCCACCTCTTGATGGCCCCTCTGGTCTCCACACAGCCCTGGAAAGAGGCCTCCCCCACCAGGTAGAGGGCCAGCTCCTCGGGCTGCCCGGAGCCCTGGGGCCTCTTGTTGGGGTAGTGAGGGCAGTAGATGTCCAGGTAGTCATTCAGATTCACCTGGATGGACATATCTCCTGCTGTTAACCTGGAAGAACGAACGAAAAGCACATTAATATTTCACGTTACGATTACATGGAGTAAACTAAAGGGTAAAGAGAGATGGTGATTAAACAGCGATGGAGAGAGAAAGAAGACAGATGACAGGATTTCCATAATTCCTTTGTGCCGGGAGGAATGTGGATAGTTACAGCAGATGGATAGTTCATCAATATTACACATAACGATTGCACAGGGTTAGAAGGCAAAGTTGTGCAGGTTTCAATGAATGTTTTACAGTTTGATGTATCCCAACGACTGTTTTCTACTTCCAGGCCAGCAAAGGAGCGGTTTTGAGCAAAAACAACAATTCCTCAAATGCTAATTAAGACCAATGAGGAGGGTTCAGAGTAGAATACACTTGACTCCCTCCACAGTCCATTCTCCCTCTACACACACAGAAGTGTAAAAATGCGATGCAGACGTGCACGCGTACGCACAACCGCAGCATCAGTCAAGGTTGACCGGCCCTCGGCATAACAACAACTCAGGACAAGAAAAGCATCATTAGGACAGAAGAGCTGCATTATGCATGCTCCTTTAGACTGCAGATTCTCACTTCCTGTCAGCCACAATATAAAGAGTTACCTGGGTGTAAACTAATACGGAAGAAGAAAGGATGTGAGGGAAATTAAGGGAAGTCGATGTATGAGGTGAATTGAACATGAAGAAACCATAAGACTTATGAATCAGGAGATGGTAAATGAGGAGAGAAATGTGAGACCAATGTGACTGATGGAGGTGACATGAGACGAGGCCTGGAGGAAGACAGATGGAGACTGATGAAAAGAGAGCTGTAGAGACAGGTTGGAACAGACAGATGGGACGAACAAATGAATAAGAAAGCCAGAAGTTTGATGAACAGGTATACAAAAAAGTGGAGTAAAGAGAAAAGAAAGTCGTTTTTTAATTAGCGACCCCAGAGAGTCCGAGTGCAGACACTCTGAGAGGAGAACAACGGGTGTGAGAAAGAGAGGAGACAGACTTTAATTGGGCTTCTCTTCGCATGGTGCGCAGGAGACGAAGAAAGAGGGGCTTGGGCAGAAGGTTCAGGTCCATCAGTGGGAGTCTTTATGGAGGGGTGACAGAGCGGAGGAGAGAGGAAGGGAGTGCTGGGAGTCGCCGAAGGGGAACATGGGAGTGAAAAAGAGCGCGGAAAAGGGATGGGCGGCGGAGCAGACTTAAGATAAGTAGGCCGACAGAGAGGAGACCAAAAGAATAAGCGAAAAATAAGAGTGGAGAGGGAGGAGGAAGAGGAGGGGACACACTGAAATAAAACAGACATGACAGGTAGCAGGAGACGAAGATGGTCCAGCAGATCTACAGAGCGTGTCAAGGATCGATGGAGCAATGAGAGGAGAAATCACAAGACGCTATATGAGAAGGAGGAGCCATATTACATGATTGACTTTCAACCTGAATGCTGGTTGAACAGTGATAATAAAGCAGAGCGTGTGTGTGTGTGTGTGTGTGTGTGTGTGTGTGTGTGTGGTGTGTGTTTTGTCGTGGAAATGTAGGTGAGACCCTGCAGGCAGGTCTCACTGAACGCTGCTTCCTGCTCAATAGCTAGCGTGAAGAATTGGCGATCTATCTATCTACAGGACGCTATTGATCGGGATCCCTCGCTCAGGACACACACACACACACACACACACACACACACACACACACACACACACACACACACACACACACACACACACACACACACACACACACACACACACACACACACACACACACACACGATCGATATCCCCTCTGTGAATGTGCTTGTGTGGCCGGGCCCCGACGGCTCTATTACCTGTGTGTGCTAATTACAGCCCAACTTGATTGTCTGGTTAAGGGAACACAAAAGCACACACACACACACACACACACACACACACACACACACACACACACACACACACACACACACACACACACACACACACACACACACACACACACACACACACACACACACACACACACACACACACACACACACACATCACACACACACACACACACACACACACACACACACAACACACACACACACACACACACACACACACACACACACACACACACACACACACACACACACACACACACACACACACACACACACACACACACACACACACTCCGCAGCCCGTTTACTCTTCATACCTGTGGTGCTTTTGAAGGCTTCTCCAAGACACAGAAATGTTTGCTTAGGTGCACCAGCCGTGGAAGTGTGGGTGTGTGCGTGAATGTGTAATAATAGACATGTGCTGTGTCAACATGCTGCCCCCCCCCGCGATGTCATTCATCTCAAGCTTCTTCCTCAGATTCCCCCCTCACCCAACTCCTGATTCATTACATTCCTCCTCCTCACCCCCTTCCTCTCTTGACCTCCTTCCTTATCTCTCCCCACTTTTGAGGCTGCATCTCATCCTGCTCTCCCTCCTATGTATGACTCCTCTCTATCCTACATTACCCCCCTTTTCCTCCCACAAGTCTCCAACCTTGGCCCGCGCCATATGCACGCCAGCAATTACAGAGACTGTGTGCTCTACTGTTGTCAAACTGTCAGGCCTCTTTCCATCCTCTTCCCTTCCTTCCTCCCTTCTCTGTGGCCCTGGTAGGCTTGGGTATGCCCTAATTACACTCAGCATCCTCCCCTACTGCCAGCCACCACACAGCAGAGCGGTGACAGAACAGGGGCATCATGGGAGCACCGAAGAGCTGAGGGTGTAAAAGAGCAGAGAGCTGGTGGAGTAGCCCATCAGCTGGAGAATGCTCTGGAAGCGGAGGATTGGTTTGGTCCAGAGCTGGAGCAAAAGGGGAGAGGGCAAAGACACAGCACACACACTCATGTGTGTTTGAGCACATGTGGGCATGAATGCACACACACATGTTCACACACTTTAGGCATACATACACAGAGACATGAAAGTACTTCAGGAGAATAAAACATGCTCTCCCCTCATGCCAGAGGGTGATCGGTGACACCCTTCTGAGCACTAGTGCAAGCTCTTGGTTGATACAAAAAAAGGAGCCGAATCAAAAAGAACACGCTGCGCCCTTCAATCGAGGACTTGAAAAGGCGAACATTTATCCTTTTTTTTTTATAATTGCAGGAAATGACATTAAAAATTGAAAAAATTGAACAACTAATGTGTGTCCATGTGTGTCCATGTGTGTCCATGTTAACGTGTGTGCACAGAGAAACATACATTCCTGTGTGTGTGTGTGTGTGTGTGTGTGTGTGTGTGTGTGTGTGTGTGTGTGTGTGTGTGTGTGGTTATAATGAAATGCAGGGGTTTGACTGTGGTAGAGACCTTTGATCCTTTAATATGAGAGAATAATTAAAGGAGCAACAATCCCACAACACGGCTTCAGGAATACAGAGCAGATACTCGATCACGCAGAGCAGCTGCGTACTATGCATACTGAATACACTTGGGTACTTAATGCATATACTGCACATAAACATGCGAGCAACAAATATTCCGCTACAATACAAATGCTAATATCACACTGTACCATGCATCCCAAATGAATGTATACTGTAGATGATGTGGATTTAATAAACGCGTTCATGCCTGTGATGGAACGATAAGAAGCCCACAGTTAAAGTCTGTTGCTCCCTTGAAGGGACGACGGGAGACAGAGAGGCTTAGAGGAGCCTCAGTTCTTCCCATGGTAAATCACAGCAGGCGGATCGCTAACTCGGCTCACTATGGTGACTGGGCACAGTACGTTTCTGTGGTCACTGTGCCTTGGCGGGGCATAGCGTGACACAGCTTCAGCCTCTGTGGTGCTGTAGTAACACTTCAGCTAAAATGGGAGGATGTGTGTTGCTCTCGAGGAGGAGGACTTTGTGAAATGTTATTGTATATTTCAGTTTTGGTACACCAGATGGGTGGGGTTAGCCGTTAACAGATGACAGCTGAGTCATTAATCTTGATGAATAAAATAATGTCATCTTTGACATACTGATTGCATTAGTATTCTGGGTGTCACGGTTTAGTTAATCCAACTAGTCATCTCAATTTGAACTGATACTTTTTCTGGAATGGCTTTGCTATGTGGTTTTGCCTGCTGAAACAAAGTCAATCTGTGCTTTCAATACTGTGGTGAACACAAAAATGTGGACTGCCGACCAACTTCACATTGTTGCGCCTCTCCCAGTCTTTAAGGAAAAACTGAATCGGGACTTACTGCCAGACTAAACTGTTCCACAAACTGGAACAACGTGCAGTTGTTGGAATTGGCGGGGGTTGTTGGAACAAAAATGCATCTTGAAGAAACTGTAACCAACCACAGCAGCCAACTACACTAACTAACCGTGTTCCTAACCTTTCAACCACAGCTGTTTTGTAGACACTTAATAACAACTTCAGCTGAGCAGTTTTATGGTGACATCTTGTACATCTGAAAGAATTACATGGATACATCTCTCAACACAAGAGAGGGATTGGAGAAAACTGTACACATTTTGTTGCTGGGCAGGTGAAGAAGACGAGGCTCTAGAAGTCTTTCCATGGGAATAACAACACTGTACTGTGGGGGAAAGCTGCTGGAAAGTATGAGAGAAGTTCAAAACAAAAAAGCCCAAAGATGGTACAGGAGGAAAGAAGGAACAGGGCAGAGAACAAGAGAATACTCTTTCTCTTCAAAGCTTTAATGACCTCCTGCTCCAGAGGCTATCCTATCTTCAGAGAGAGAAACAAGAGGAATAGGACACCTGTAGCTCCTCATGAGTCAGACATGAGAGGGAGAGAGAGAGACTTTAACTCGGAAAAATATGTCTTTCTTTTGTTCCCCATCTCTTCTCTCCTGCTCAATCTTATGCTGCGCTGTTGTAAAATGGAACAGAATCAGGGCAACCCCACCTCCCCCCTCCCCTAGCCATGCCCCCCCCTCTTTGCCCACACAAAGCCATGCTGTGTCCGGAGCCTAAACACCAATGTTGTGTCTAACCTGGTGCTTACTCCCCTCAACGCGCACAAACAAGGACTTCCCCCCCTACCTCTGACCATCTGGGGCCCCCCACAACCCCGCCTGCCCAGTTGGCAGAAATAAATCCCTTTACTAACCCCCTTCAACCTCACATCCCCGGGACGCTGTAGACCCTGTATTTTCAAAATGTAAGTGTCATCAAACTGAGGTAAAGGATGGTGATCAACCCCTCCTCACTGAGAGGGAAAAGGGACTTAAGGGGAACAAGCTGTTGCTCTTATCTACCGTTTCCTGTTTGGTGGGCCTATGTTCATGTTTTCATGTACGTGTGCTTCCTTCAAGGTCAGAAGGAAGTGTATCTCCCCGCTACACCAGACCTTTTGCTTTCTTTTCCATGACTCCTAATTTCGAAATGTGGACGGTATGTGAACTTCCCTCCTCCATTTTCCCCTCATCCGTATCCATCCACTTGAGTGTGCGTTTTTTCTTTCTATGCAGGTTCTGAGCACACAGATCTGGGTGGCTTTACGACCTCTGATAAACACTTCCCTGGGGGAAGCCCTGTGCTAACAGACAATCCTAATGCATCTGCCCTCATAAATGGGAGAAGGATAAGAACATCAGTGCACACAGACATTGCAAAGCATCGTATATATATATGAATTTGGTGCATAAGCGTTGGTGACAATGGCTGTATGTGTATAGCCTGGAGGAAGTGATTGGTTGCACCCTTCTTGCCCTGCAGGCTCCATTAAAGGAAGATGCATGGGCATTCAAACTGTTAGGATCAGCAGGCTGCCCCGTGGACCCACAAACACACACACACACACACACACCTGCTGCTTCAGGCCCTGAGGGACCCTATTTTCTGCCTGTTACGGCATAGGTCCTCCTCTGTGTGCGTGTGTGGTCATTCTGTGGGTATCAGCATCACAAGAGGATGTATAGCTCGGCCGTCAGGGCTGAGTAAAATTGCATGATTTGGGTCTGCAGGACCTATCAGTATGGAAACCATTCCATCGGAACCGTTTTGATACGGCTGCAGGTCTGCAGAAACCATCACAGCCTCTACGTGGCAGCGCCGTCATGCACGCTCTCCATGTGTGGTCCATTCCGATCCAAAAATAAGCTTTCCAGCAACTTTTCTAGGAGGTATGAAATTACTGTCCACAATATAAACGGACAAAGACTGCAGTCTGACAGTCTGAGGCTCCCTTTTCTTTTCGCCACTTGACCGAAAAACAGTGCAAATGTTGCCCACCAGCGGGGCAGCAGCTGTGAGCGCTCAGACTTGACTCTCTCACCTGCTCAGCGTGGAGGCCACACTTGGAGGCAGAGTGCTAGAGAGAAAGGGCACAATCAGAAGAGGTTCGGCCCTCACGCAGATAATAATGACGGGAAAGTGTGCGGCAAAAGAAATGCGGATGGGCGAGATCATGGTGCACGCACAGAAAGGGGCGTGTGAGGGGGCAAATAAGGTCAGACGTGCCGTTGCCAGGACAACAACAAATCCAAGGCTGGGATTGGTGCCAAGCCAGCGCCCCACCCATCCATCCTCTCCTTCCATACGTCTTTTTTTCCTGCATCTCTCTGTCGGACAGCCTTAACCTCAGAGTAATGAGTGCTCTCCATGTTTCTGCAGTCTAAATGCAGCTGCAGTGTAAATACAGGGCTGATCTGTGCAGGTGCCAGGCTCCGATACATAAACCTGAATATAGCTACCGTACCTCACCGCTCAGACACTGACAGACAGAGGAGGGGGGGCAGTGACAGCCATGATGGGTGGACACAAAAAGCCATGATTCAAACTATGTACAAAATCTATCAAAGTGTATTGCTACAAAGTGGCAGCTGGGCTGATCCACAGTGTCAACATAATTTGTCTCGTCTTTTGTACCAACTTCATACACAGTGTCAAAGCAGATAAGACTAGCCAAATAAAGAGAGTTGATGAATGAATGTTCACTTTAAAGTGAATAACACTGACACAAGGGTTGGTCATATTGGTTTCATGCCAATTGGGCAGGTGGTGTAGGACAGAGAGGACACCGGGAGATCTTTTTGCTTTTAAATAAAAAATATATATATTAAGATAAATACAAAACAGAGAAAAAAGTGTTTATTTTAAAGCCGGCTTTAGACTGCACATTTGAATCATACATCGTATCTGTTGTTTTAAAGCTGAAACAATATTTTTTTTCTGTCAACGGAGAGAAAAAAATCCAGAAATATAATGTTCTGTTATATATCATTATAGATTGAATATATTTGGATTTAAGTTAATAGAATGTAACCATAATGGAATTATTAAAGCTTTAAAGAGGTCACGTTGGGCTTTAGGAAATGTTTTACTAATTTTTGAAAATGTTTTACTACCAAAAGTTATTCTGATACAGATAAAAGGATAATCAAATATAATCATTGCAACCCTAAGTTGGTTAGATCCAACTTGCCATACCCGTTCCTCTTTCAATGAATCTTGTATCTTTGTCTGCATCTTTGACAAAGATAATTTAAAATCAAACCCTTTTAAACAGTGACATTTATTTTAAATGTTTGGCGAATATTGCATGTTGCTTATTGGCAACGTTTCATAGTTTTATATATATTTTCGTATCCCTATCGAGTCCCAACGTCTTAGCAGTATACGTTCTACACCCCCATCTGTTATATTAACTATACTTAACTACACTTATCTGTGTCTCAGGTCAGCAGGTCCCACCTGTGTAAGTAGGTTAAGGAGGACATGCCAGCAACGCCCCTTAAAACAACCACATACACACACACACTTTAACTCAGATACACTCTTCACTATAGTGAAAAGGGCGCTCACAAAGCAAATACACTGAGCCAATAAATCAGAGTTGGCTTTGAGAATCCATCATTTACTAAGTGGGTCAACCTTCTGATGCCGTCGACACTCTTTCCCATTCTTGCACTGTGTTTTTGTCTCTCTCCATGATGTGAAGGTCAATGCTGGATAGGCAACATAGACCGTTAAACCCAGGTATGCATTCCCTCTGCCTTCAACTCAGCGTCGGCTCATTGGCTAGTTGTTAGGAATGGCCAGTCCAAGGGCTGGATCTGTCCTTCAGCCAGACACACACACACACACACACACACAAGACATGTCAATGAAAGCTGCTAATACAGCCAAGAGGCCTGAATTATTTAAAGACAGAGAAGGAGTGCAAAGGAGAATATGGAGAGAGAGAGAGAGAGAGAGAGAGAGAGAGAGAGAGAGAGAGAGAGAGAGAGAGAGAGAGAGAGAGAGAGATGGGAGAGGCACACGAGTTAGGGAGTAAATAGAGTGGCAGCCTGCTCTTCCCGTCTCTCTGACTCATGGAGAACTTATTTAAAAACTTCTATACTTGCTTTCACTCCCATCTGCTTTCTCCCACCCCATCTTCAGCAGGTCTCATTTCCTCCCTCTGTCAGAGTGTCTACACACCTTCTCCCTCCATTGCTTCTTCCACCACCATTTCACCCACTTCGCCCTCCCTCCCTCCCTCCCCACTCTGTATTTTTCTCTGTTTATCTAAGCACTTTCACGGTCACTGCTTTGGAATCCCAGGAGACTAAACTGGCCCCCTCTTCCCCCCCCTCGCAGACGATCCATGCTTCTCCCTCCCTCTCCATCTTTCTCCGTCACAACCGTTAAGATTCGTATCGCTCTGTGCATCAGGGATATGGAAGGTCCCCCCTATTCCCCCTCAAGGCAGCCAGCTTTGTCCTGTTCTAGTCACGCACAGCCAGCCACTCGCCCCCACCCTCTCACACGAACACATATTCACACCAGAGACAGGACACTCACACTGACGTCTAATACCAATCAGCTGGAAATAGAATTATTGAGACATTTGAACAAAATCTGCCTATTTGGTTTCAAGGCTACTATACTATGTGTTATTTATAACTTAATACAGCATATTCACTTTAGCACATGAGCATTAGCTTATCCATTGCTTTGCAGCGTGTGAAACTGAATTCTTGGTTTTAATATTTGAGCTGGTATTGGATGCCATTATCTGCCTCAAAGCCGGATGCCACTGAATTTCTTAGAAAGGCCAGTTGAGTTCCACAACACTGATGAAGGGTTTAAGACACAATAAGAAGGAAGAAGGGGGAGGTGGATTTAGGAGGGGAAGGAAGTAGTGAGGGTCAACAGGAGAGGTGCAGACGGCAGTCTGACATATAGTGTGAACAACAGCTGGGCGCTGGACTGGGATTAAATGATTAATTTGGGATTAAAATGGACTGGTCTCTACTTTAAAGTAATCAACCACAATGACCCAAAAGTGACACGCACAGAGTACAGTGTGGCAGAGTGTGGTGAGCAGGTTTTTTTCATAGTAACAGACTAAGTCCACTGTAAATCCACTAAGCAAACTAAGCAAATACCACAGTAAAACCTGCAACGTATTCAGTATCTACCTTTTTTTTTAAACAAAACCGTTCTAAACTTTTTTCGTTCTGAAAAGAAATCCATCAGTGAAACTCCTCAAATGTAAAAAGTAGCGAGTAAGGCGTTTTCTGACTTTCATGACTAGGCATTTGTCACTGAGTGTATTTTAGGTGAGCACACATTAATTCCACAATCATAAACACGCAGCAGTGTTTTGAGAAGCGTGCTGCGTACAAGAACTCAATTTCCAGTTGAATAGGAGAGCAATGAGATTCATGAGTTCTCCTGCTACAAGGCCACCGCTATGGAGATTTGGGACAAGGCTATTTTCCCCTCTTCCATTCAGAACAACCCTAGCAACAAATCTCAGGATGCTCCCAGACTGTAAATTATAGCCATCTGATCATTTCTGATGAATATAACAAAACATATTTTTGGACAGTGACAGAGCAATTAATAAAAAATGACAGTTTACTTAAAGAAATCTGTAAAAAAATACGCAATTTAATCAACTTAGCCCCTTATTGTGTATTGTGTGTATTGTGTGTATTGTGTGTATGTCCCCACTCTGCATACTAACGTGTCAGCAGCCTGTCAGTGTAGTAGATGGTAAGTAGTGGCGGCCGGCCCATAGGGGTGCTAGGGGCGCCGCCCCACCTCTTCCCACATACAAAAAAAAAAATAAAAAAAAAAATTAAATTAAAAATATATATATTTAAAAAAAAAAATATATATATATATATATATATTTTATATTTTTATTTTTAATGAACAAGGTCAATATCATACAATTGGCATCAGTAAAATGTATAATCTACGATAAAATCTCGTTTAAAATCGTGTTACGATGTCTAAAGTTACTGATAAGTCACATGTTTCATGCCTGGCCTTGCCCGTGGCATTAGTTTATCATTACCGGGCGCCGTGCAAGGAGCCCCCGAGCCAAACAGCAGCAACCAGCACATTGCAAAAGTCTCAATAGTAAACTGTGCCGCCGAAACATAATTTCAGCCAATCAGCGCCGTCAAATATTTTGGTCACGAGGGCGCTCACGTTGGCGCCCACGTTGCTTACGTGCGTTGACGTGAGTTGTTTTTTAGACTTGTGAGTGACCAAGGTGTTGGATGAGTTGGATGAGAATGGCTTCGTGTGCAGGTGGAGTCGCCGGACCTCGGTCCCCGCCCAATTCCGTTCAAGAGCTAATCTCCAATCCTTTCGAAAGGAGAAGTTTGGGAGATAAACTGTTGCTTAAAGACCTTGGACCGGACCAACCCGATTTGTATATATCGCAGCAAGCTCGTGAAAAAGACAAAACGTATCAACGAGGCTTCTCACGTAGCTGGTACACCAGAAAGGCATGGCTAGCTGGATGCAAACAGGTAAATGCTGTCTTTTGTTTCCCATGCTTGCTCTTCAAACAGCCGGGGACAGATACGATCTGTTCAGAAACTAGACAAAAGTTAAACAAGTACAAACCACAGACTGCCTGTGTCATGGCGAATACAGTCGCTGGTTTATTTATGTCTGTATAGGCCGTTGTTGTGAGTGTGGACGGTCGGAGCATATATAACGTTAGCTTAGCCAAGCTCCATTTAGAAAACATGCAATTTAAAAGGGTTTTTTGCCTGCCGTCTGTCTGCAGACTTGTCAAAGCATTAATTCATGGTTTTTACTAACCGGTATCAGTATGTTGTTACTTCGGCATCATTTTGAAACGTGTATTACAATTAAATCACGGTAAAATATGTTCATCTTGTTGTAGTTGTAGCCCCCTTGCCAGCGATTCTCTCTCTAGTTTAGCATACTCAGCCCGACTCAGCCTGGTTGTTACTGGCCCTAGAACCACGATTTTATGGGGCCAGAAAAACTGTGAATTAGGACCCGCTAGCAAGTACTAGGCCAAGTGGAAACGCAACCAAAAACGGGCCCCGCAAGGCTCGGCACTGTCTGTGTCTTGGCGAATACAGTCGCTGGTTTATTTATGTCTGTAGGCCGTTGTTATGAGTGTGGAGTGAGCATATACAACGTTAGCTTAGCCTGGTCGACCCAATCTCCATTCAGAAAACAAGCATTCTAAAAGGTTTTTCGCCTGCCGTCTGTCTGCAGACTTGTCAAAGCATTAATTCATGGTTTTTACTAACCGGTATCAGTATGTTGTTACGTCGGCATCATTTAGAAACGTGTATTACAATTTAATCACGGTAAAATATGTTCATTTTGTTGTAGTTGTAGCTCTCGAGCCAGCGCGTCTTGTTTGAATGATGCGAGTAAACACAGCTGGCAGCCGCGGTGAAACTCGAGCGACTAGAGCGATGCGATAGGAGCGTTTATGCTACGTTCACACCGGAAGCGATGCGAATATTCACTTCGCTCTAAACGCTCCTATCGCATCGCTCTAGTCGCTCGAGTTTCACCGCGGCTGCCAGCTGTGTTTATTCGCATCATTCAAACAAGACGCGCTGGCTCGGGAGCTACAACTACAACAAAATGAACATATTTTACCGTGATTAAATTGTAATACACGTTTCTAAATGATGCCGACGTAACAACATACAAAAGCAGCTGCAGAACTGCTTCAGCCCCATCAGAGCGAAAGATCTGGCGATAGAGGACCCCACTCCTCTCAACTAACCGGTCCTATTGGCGGAGCAGTGCCAATGCTTGCCGGGACAACTGCTTCCTCTCATCATTGCTTGGACGCTGCCTCCTTCTCCAGAACACCAAGAGTTCCTGAAGGACGGGGTCGGCTTGCTGAAGTGCCTCCATATCAGACTGTGTATGATGAGGCAAGGCTATGACAGCTGCTTGGGTTGCCTGTGCTACTGGCAAGGCTTGCCGTAAAGGCAAGGGGAGCGAGGTGCTAGGGAGCATAGCTTCAAGATCTTGCACCCCTGGTGGGTGCTGACCGGACAGGGCATCAGCATTTCCATTACTTCTACCAGAGCGGTACTTAATCTCAAAGTCGAAAGACGCAAGTTGGGCTGCCCAACGTTGTTCAGTGGCTCCAAGCTTTGCCGTGGACAGGTGGCTAAGGGGATTGTTGTCAGTGAAGACAACACATTTATGACCAAGCAGATATTCCCTAAATTTCTCAGTCATGGCCCACTTGAGCCCCAAGAACTCCAGCCTCATAGAGCTGTAGTTGGCAGAATTGCGTTCCGTGGGCCTCAGACCTCTGCTGGCATAAGCTATGGGCCTGACCTTACCACCTTGCTCCTGTGATAGCACAGCTCCGAGGCCACCAAAGCTTGCGTCGACCTCCAGAATGAATGGGAGGGAGAAGTCGGCATAGGTAAGCACAGGTGCCGTGGTGAGCTTTGTCTTGAGAGCCTCAAAGCTCCTATAATAATAATAATAATAATAATAATAATAATTTCAATTTATATAGCGCCTTTCACGAAACCCAAGGACGCTTTACAATGGGAAGTAACAAAACAAAAAGTAATAATAATCATACAGATACATAGGCTGAAGAAAACAAAACAGGAACAGGTTGCTGAGTACTGTATATTAGTTGAGGTCAAAGGCCTGAGTGAACAGATGGTGTTTGAGGTGTTTTTTGAAGGTGTCCAGAGTGTCTGCATTCCTGATTGCAGAGGGGAGAGAATTCCAGCGACACTGAAGGTTCTGTTGCCAAATGTTTTCAGCTTGGAGCGCTGGATGGAGAGCAGCCCTTTGTCAGAG